CCGTTCCATGCTGGACACTGGCTTTGATCTTAGCTCTGCTGAAGCCCCAGCTACACGTCTTCCTTGGCGGGACAAAGGGAAACGGGACCCTGGCAACTCAGGGGTTCGATTCCACAGAAATAAAGCTTCTACAGTATCTCCTCCTCCCATGCGAGTCTCAGAAAACTCTTTCTCGCGATACCAAAGGCCACAGGTGGGGGCAAGAACCCCTTCCCATTGGTAACACCTGCAGCGTGAGCTGATGGGACCAATGCGAGCATGTCCCCCAAGGGTGCAGGTTCCAGCTGCAAATGCGGGGCGTCAAAGTGCCTCGCACTGGGGGTCAGCAGCCCGGTGATGGTCTGAAACACACAGACCGATGCTCTCCCTTGGCTCACACATCTGGTCCTGGGGATTCGCTGCTGGTTGTCCGTGACTTCAGGCTCCTGAAAAGGCTGAGGAAGATCAGTGTGGAAGGGCCTCTCCCGCTGACCAGTCATGACCTGCATCCCTCCATTGTTCAAAGATGGAGACTGAGGCTCAGAGAGCAGGAGGGTGCAGAGACAGCAACAGGCCAGTGAGAGGCCGTTTCCCACGGGAGGAGGCATGGTCCTGGTGCTCTCCAGGGGCCAAGCTGCTGCAGAAGGGAAACGCTCAGGCAACAAGGGACGAGGGAGGCGGCCACACCCCGCTCGTTCGCTGCTCTCTGCCAGCTTTGGGGCTGACGTGAATGTGGAATAAATTGATCCCCACAATGAGCAGTGTTGCACGTTACGGGCTCGGGGCTCGAGCATCAGACTGCCTGCTGACCCATTCACGTCCACACTCCCCAGGTCTGTCTCCCTCAGCTGAGGTTTGCTCGTCTGTGATGCAGGGGCGATTCTGGTGCTTATAAGGATTTCATGGGGATTGAATGGGATAATCCACGTAACGCACTTACCACAGCGCCTAGCAGAAAGGAGCTCATTGATTGTTGGCTGCCCTCTCTATTGCTACATTATTATTTTTATTATCAACTAAGATATATTCTCGGTGAGCCAAAAAAGGGGAGAGGGAAAGGAGAAACCGAATCTAAATCAAATATAACAGTAGTTAAAAACAAAAGGTGAACTTCCCTTGTATGTTTCCAAAACTGTGGAATGGAGCTTGCAATCACATCACATTGACTCATAAAGTTTGGAAGTTCATCTCTGGTACCTTCTCTTTCAGCCCTTCCTTGCTTAAAGGGCCCTTCCTTGGAGGTGGGGGCCCCTAACAGCTCTCGGACACTCACTCGTCATCCTTTTAAACACAAAAGCCTTGGGCAAGCGGAGGGTTGGCTTCTCATTAGAACGTCATAACCTTGTTTTGTTGTCATCTATTTAGCTCCATGGCTGCTTTCTACTTATGGCAAGTAATACTGATTTTCTATTTGGGGTACCGATATAATGTTTCTCCCTAAAATAAACTTATGTAAGTGAAACCCTGAAGTGATTTAAATAAAAATATCACGTAAATAACAGTGCTGGCAGGATACATATTTGGTGATGCTCATTGGAACAGTCACGATACTCCTACCAGCTCTGAGGTTTTGGGACAAGACAAGTGAGGCAAGCGCAGAAAATGACACGATGTCCCAAACTCAGGCCTTCAGATCTACCCCGATTTGTTTAAATTCAAACCAAATATTCAGCCTCGGTGTTCTAGGCTGGATGGAAGAGAGCCGCAAACGATGGCTAGAAGAAGTCAATGCATTCGCCTTTTTTCCCTCTAGACCAGCTGCCACAGGAAGGACTGTGACCAGAGAAAAGCTGAGTCACAGAGAGAGAGACACTACACCAAAGAGGAAACGGGTGGGTAGACAGCACAGCACCAGGGAGACATGACTGTTGTTGTGAAGACAATATTAGAGGCAATTTAGTACAGCCTCTCCGGGTCCCTCCCCAAAGCCCACCTCCACCCCCAGCCAGACAGCAATTTTCTCAGGAAAGGGCAAGTTAGCATGAAGAGGACCTGTTGGTGAGATGAGGTGAAATCCCAGGAAGAATGGGTTTTTCTACACACGCATCCTTGGGTGTCAGTCGAAGTTGGTTTTTCTCTCTTTGCTTTCTAGCTGCGGATCCTGAGCTGGCCGGGGGGCTGCAGGGCCTCTGCCGGGACAGCCCTGCAGGCTGGACGTCAGCTTGAGGAGCAGCACAGGTGGACCCCTTTCTCCCAGGCATCGGGCGGTCTGGCTGCAGCATCCATCACCCAGGGGTTGTCAAGGCCAATCCCCTCCTCGGGGAGCATCGCTTCTTGACAGTGCAGGCTGCCTGGGAGATGGTGGCCACCTCAGAGAAGAGGGCAAGATGCAGGCCTCCTCCTCCCTTGGATAGGCTCGAAGGCTCCTCCTTCCACGCACATGCTCTATGACCTGATTCCCAGGAGCCAGCGAGTGAAGTAATGCCAGGCTAGCAGCTGTCTGGGCGGAACAAGTCTGGTCCTGTCCTGGGAACCACCAATGTGGGCCTTTGGTCCAAAGAGACAATAAAGTTTGCGTATGAGTCCACCTCTGCAAAGGAGACCGTCTTCTTGGCAATGACAAAGGCTCCTATACCCACAATTGCTGTTCTTTCCTGGGTCAGGGGTGTATGTGACCTCTACAGACACCAATCATGGACTGGCTCACAGAAGCCTATCCAGAGTGTCCAGAAGCTATGGACCAGTGACATGGTAAGATCTAATTTCCCGCCTATATTGTAATCTGTGGACCCCTGTTGCATCCAAGTTGCCCTTTAAGATGGTAGATCTGCCACTGAGAAATAATATCTCTCTATATAAAAGCCTGAGTGAATGACCGAACATCCAGTTGCTATGACATGCACTGACCACCAGGGGGCAGACCCTCAATGCAGGAGCTTCCCCTGGTGGTCAGTGCACTGCCACAATGGTAGTGCCACTCAGCTGACCGACCTGTCCCAGTGGCTCACCAGCTCGGTGGCAGCCACTCACTCCCTCAGTAGTTCTGCAGGTCCAAAATCCGGAGAACAGGCCAGACACCAATGGACCAGTGCCACCAGCACGATCCTGACAGCCCCCACAGCCTCCTGGAAGTCGGCCTTGGGCACTGTGGCCACTTCCCCTCCCTAGACGCTCCGCAAGGAAGAAATGATATAAAAGCGGCTGCCAGGTGGCTCCCAACAACTAGCGCAAACGTCAGCAGGATGGATCCAGATCCTGGGCCAGCAAGGGCGTCCCACTGCCCACCCGGAGGACCGATTGTGTCCCGCCCCCCCATCCCCCCTCAGGACAGGTGCCAGATGCAGGGCGCAGCTGGCGAGTGGCACTGCTGCTGTGATGTGAGCCTCTCCCGATCAGGACTGACTGGGCGCGAGCCCGCGCAGGCGCAGCAGGGCGGGAATGAGCGGAGCGGCAGGTGGCATTGGGCTGCCAGTTTCAGCCCAATCCCTGCAGGCCATGCTGAGGGACCCACCTGTGCACGAATTCGTGCTCAGGGGCCTCTAGTGTTACATACATAAACATGCTTGCTAAGCTCCTGGGAGAAGAAGCATTTCGCAGGGAAGAAATCCAATTGTATTTATGTATCTGTGTGTGCCCATAGGCATTTAATAGTAGATCCTACCGACTTCAGGGTGTTAAACAAAGTTTACCAGTTGCCTCGAAGCACTAAACCTATTCCTCCCCACTGTGAGCTGGTTCTTGTGAGCGCTGTCCTAGTCGTTCCCTAAGAAGTTCTTTGTGAATCAAGGAGAGCAGAAACCACATTCAGAGAGCACGTGGAGAACTATGGACCCCCAATTTCATGCATCTCTGCCTTTACCATTAAAAAAAGTGAAGAAAGGAAAGCAACTCTGAGGAGGCTTATTAATCCTCAGCATGAGGAGGGTCCCCTTGGTGGGTGACCAACTGGCCCAGTTTGCCGGTTACTAATGAGTTTCTTGGGATGTGGGACCTTCAGTGCTAAAACCAGAGTGGCTGGTCATCCTAGTCCTATGTGGAGTCTGACCATCCTTCTTACCATTTCTGGGACAGAGAGAAAAGGGGGAGGTAATGGATTCTGCCCTCACGGGTGAAATAGGGGATAAGGAGGCAATGTGGCTTCTGAGATCACTCAGGAAAGGAAGCAGGATAAACAGACCAGGTGGAAGGCCAAGGGGAGCTGACGAGGTTAGAAAGGTCTGGTGCATCTTTGCCTTGTGGGGTGTTATCACATATGCACCCCACCATCACCCACACTGTCTGTTCAATGGGCTCCTATAAGGACCAACAAGCAATCCTTTCGATAGGGATTTTATCAGCAACTACAAGAAAGGCAACTGAGCCTCAACCTGGGGGCATAATTCACCCCAAGATAAGGTAATTTGGTGGTAACTTTGACATCAGGGAAGCTTCTACGTAGGAGCGTGGAGAAGGGTAGATGCTGGTGAAAGATGTAGAAAAGCGGTAGCACAGGAGCTTCACAGGCAGGGGCCAATGAGGTTCCTAGAAAGCAAGTTGGTCTGGGGCTCTGTCTTTGCCAAAAGAGCCAATTGTTCTGACCGAGACCAGGCACGGACTCAGCACAGGGCCCCGAAAGCCACTCAACTGATTACAGCAACTGAGTGTTGTTCCCCAAATCGGAGTGGTAGGACCATTCTCAACTGAAGTTCTGGGTAAAGGCGCAGGCCCTTTTTGCATTGTCATGGAAGGGAAGTCAATCAGGATTCATTCCGAATGACCTCAAAGCCAGTATGCCAAGGAGAGAATGCCACCTTTAAACAGATGCGCACATAGAGCTGGTAATAGATCTGAAACCAAATCCTAAGCAGAGTTCCCAGAGTCTATACCCCTCAAAATATGACGAGAAAAAAAATGCTCATGTCTATAAACCAAAATATACTGATGCTTCTCTTGTCAGCACTTTGGTGCTTCTGGACGAACCTCTTGGCATTGCCATCAACCTAATTTTGCTAAAAGAGCCTTGATGAACTCATCCACCAAAGCATGTCCAGAAGCAGATGGCCAGCATGGAGAGAAAACTGGAGCTGTCGAGTGTAGGAAGAATTAAAAGGGTGAGTGGGTGGCAGATCGCTGCCTCCTAACAGCTAAGGGTTCTTAAGAGGAAGAGGTGGCCAACTGCATGGCCCCATGGGAACAGCGATAGAGTCGAGAGCTCTCTAAAAGAACTTCCTTTAATTAGAGCTTCCCTACGGCAGAAGGGACTGCATTAGGAGGTAGTGAGCTCCTGTCCCAGGGGGTGTGCAAGCAGAGATTGACCAACTTCCAGGGATGCTGTGAAGGATGCTACTCCTGCGTTGGGTGGGAGGCTGGATCTGACGGCGCTTGAAGTCCCTTCTCAACTCTGTGATCCTCCACGTTCTGGTCTCAGGGCCTGTCCGACACGGACGGTCCTCCATGACCTTCCCTGGGCCCTGGGCCCCCTTTCTCATACCTCACTGGTGGTGATGAGGGTCAGGAGAGGTGCCAGGGTGTCCTGTTCATGCAGATACAAATGGGAATGGATGGCTTAGCTGTGAGCCAGGTCCTCAATCAGAAGCATGATTCCAGGGATTCTGGGTCAGTGTGTATGGGCAGTTTCTCGAGTTCCTGGTGATGCCCGCTGTGCAGAACTGTGTACCTAGGAAGGAAGGAAAGCAAGCATGAGAACTCAATAGGCCCCTTTCAAATGCACCGAGGAGAGCACTCCCACCAATCCTCATTTCCTTTCTACTGCTCGCTTCTGAGAGCATGCTGTCTGCGGGGGGGCTGAATACGAGGCAGGGGTACTTCCTCAAAATAAGGTCCAAAGAATGCATCCACATTGCTCATTTTAAAGGTGAGGGACAGAAGACCTGGAGAGAATAACAGGGTTACTCAGACACTGAGTGGCAGAGCTGGAACTAGGCCCCAGATTCTTTCCTCCCTGCAAAGCCTGGGGCTCCGTGTTACTCACCGAAATGAACCCTATGCACCCCCTCAAGCTCTACCAGCACATCTCTGCCAGGGACTGTTCCGGATTCAGCAACATCCAAGTGCTGACTGAGATCCTAAACCACTCAGAGCCTGAAAGACAATGTAACTGTATTTGTTCCTTTCGGGGACATTTGGAAGAGCACATCCATTAGATGAACCAAACAGCAGGCTGAGTCCCAGCATCGCAGTGAAACTGACTTCTTGACAAGTGTTTACTATTTTTCCGCAATATCACATGGTTGCACTCAATATGCTAATTGCATTTAAATCAGCTTCAATTGCATGCAAGTCTTGTCACCAGTAACCCAGATTCCAGCCTCTGGCAGTCATTGTTATGAAATTTCTAGAGAGTTTAGGAGCACCATCCCCACTCATTTCCTGAGACGAATGTCAAACCCATTCAGTAAAACACACACACACACACACACACACACACACACACCAGTTTGTTATTTGGCATTATATGTTGACAACCAACTTGATGGTTTATCATGAGTTACAGTAATGCTTTGCTTTGAATTATATTGATTGCTTGTATGTACCAGGGACTGTACTAAGCCTTCTCCATGCATTACCTTATATTTAATCTCACAAAAGCCCTATGAGATAGTATGATGTTCATTTTTAAGTTAAGCAGCTTCAGTGACTCTCCCAAGGGAATACTGGTAATATGTGAAGATACAGCCCATCAAACCTGGTCTAGCTGGTGCAGCACCCATATGCTTACCTGGTTCTCACATAGCCCACGGACCAGTGTAAATTTAGAACAGTGAGTCTCAACAGGAGCACCGAATAGGCATTTTTGGTTGTCATGGCAGGAGCGGTGCTATTGGCATCTAGTGGGTAGAGACCAGGGATGGTGCCAAATATTGTCCAATACACAGTACAGCTTTCCAGAACAAAGACTTATCTGGCCCAAAATGTCAACAGTGCCAAGACTAAGAAACCTTGATATAGACTGAGTTCCCAGACCAGGCTCTGTCAGCTACCATCTTTGAGATGTTTGCAAGTTCTGTAACCTCCCCACATGTCACCTCCCTCCCCTGTAACTGAGGGTGCTGGTGCCTGCATCATAGCACCGGCGTCTGGATGAAAGAATGCAATGCATGCAAACAGCAGCACAGGCTCTGGCACAGAGTAGAATTCGATACACTGAAACCCAAATTATCCTCCTCATTTAGTTCTGAGAATATAAAAATGATGGTAATAATATATGGATAGCAGTTTATTATTTTAAAATATTTTTCTCCTTTATTTCCTTGATAGGTAAAACCTAAAAGAACTCAAGATATGAAAGACTACCAGATGTTGTCTTTCTTTCTGATCAAAGTCCCAAGCCCTGGTTTGGCAAGTAGGCACACTGAAGCAGAACAAATTGATTTTTCCATACATGCCTCCTGCAGGCCAGTCAAGGCCCGCAATTATCAGGAGGAGAGAGTGAGGCTCAGGGCAGCTGAGTGAGTACTTAAGCATTACGGTAGGTGAGTGGCAGAGCCTGGCCAGGAGCACAGGCAGACTCCTGCCCATTGCTCTTACCCCTGAGCAGCATCGTTAATGACTTAAGTCCAGGCGTTCAAAAAAGGGCTTCGAACCTAACACCCCATGAAATGGGACTGCACTCCTGAGGTACAGGGATATCCCTGACGTGAATACTTGTGCAGGAGAAACTTAATGATAATAATGAGAAATACACAGCTCCATTTATTGCGAAGTGAGGATGTGTGTTGGTAACAGTTTTAGTAATTACATATATGATTTCATTTATATCATTCATTTTCCACAACCCTGAGTGCTAGCTGCTATACTTAGATCTACTTTACCGATGAGAAAACTGAGCCTCAGAGAGGTTAAGCAATTAATGGTAGGTCACAGTCTCCATGATGCCCACACTCTTAACCTCAAAACACTCCTGAACCTGGCCAATAAGTCAACTTCAGTAGAAATCAATGGCACTTTCTCCTTCCCTGTGTTCACATAAAAAGAGTGTCCTAGTTGAGGAACCAAACTGATATTACTGAACGTAGAAGAGGTGCTGCCACGGAACGCAGGCACACCTCGACAGCAGCCGTTCACACACCTCTCGGAGGGCTCTATTTCTCCTGTGCTAAAGAGTGGGTTGTTCAGGAACAACTAGAAAAGAGTGTGGGACTGGGGTCGGTATTCCAAGTGGAGGTTCTCTTTGTCCTGCTGCAGTTGACTGGGGGTGAGCAGACAAACACGTTTTCTAGTTGCCACTTATGGGTGGGTCCTGTCACCGCGGTAGGCCGAGTGATACCCACAGAATGGAGGGACTAGTGTGAGATTTCCTTGGCAGGACTCGGGTAGAGGGCCTTGTGTCTCAAATGGAGTGTGGCCTGCAGAGGCATTCCCTGGGCTGGGGTAGTCCCCATTCTTCGTGAGATGCCTATATTTTTAATTTGGTATTTTCACTTTGACAGTAAATCAACAATTTAAGCGGATTTGGGACCATCTGGATGGCCACCTTATGAAGTCACATCGCCTTGTGAATTCAGGTCGCCTTTGCATTCGGGGCCCCCCTCATGTTGCAGTGACAGTGGCTAACTTTATGCAGCATCTCTCTAACTGGGGTGCATGGATCCCACGCGGTCTGCGGGCATATTCATGGGGATCTGCGCATCCCCGATTTGAGCAATACTGGGGCAAAGAAAGCACACATTAACAGCGGGCAAACAGAATGGCATTCAAATCCTGACTCTACCATTTACTAGTTGTGTGACCTGGTCAAGCAGATTAGTTCCAGGGGACATCATTGCTTTGTTGTGATAATAAAATGAACATCTTTAAGGGACTTCACAAAGGGCTGGATACACAGTGAGAGCAGGAATCATTACTGTTGAGGAAGCCAAGGCTCAGGACGCGTGACTTCCTCAGGGTTGAATGGCTCTGGAGGCAGAATGCCTGGGTCGACGTCCTGCCTCTGGCATGGACTAGCTCTGTGATTATTCCCGATGTCGTGGGCATTATATGAGATTATGCCCATAAAATGCTTATTTGAATAGTGCCCACCAACAAGTACATACTCCATTAATGTTAATTAATACTACTGCTATTTAATGATCCAGGTCAGACTCTAACCCAGTACTTCATTGATGATTCAGTGCAGGACTCCACTCCTTAGTAGTTGGTCCAATGTTTGTTCACTTAGCAATTGATCATGAGGCTGGAAGAAACCTTCAAGATGGCCTTAGAGATAAAGACGTAGCCTCTCCAGGAGGCTGTCATCTGCTCAGAGTGGCAAACGTCTCCTGGCTCTGTCTGGTGTAGGATCTTACATGCAGACCCTAGAGGTGAGGGCGTACGTGCAGACCCTAGAGGTGAGGGCGTACCTGGACAGTGTCAGGTCCAGATGAAAGCTCTCTGCTGTTCCCAAGCAACAGCAAGGCAGGAAGCAGCTTGCCTGCTTTGCATTAATTTACT